TTAATTCCTTTAGGTTTGTTTCAAGGCCTAGGATACAGTTTATGTTGACATATGTTCTGTGGACATTTGACAAGAATGTATGCTCTGCTGCTACAGGGTAGATCATTTTTTATTTGTAAAGTATATATTTGACATGAGATTTACACCTCGAATATTTATGGAACTCAAACAGAACAGACAAATGCCAATGATAATCTGACTTAAAAGTGGACAAATGACCTGGATAAACATTTTTCATATGAAGATAAATAAGTGTAAGAGGAGATGATCAAAATCGCTAATTACCAGGGAAATTCGAGACAAAAGAGTGATATGATATGACCTAGACATAGTTAGAATGACATAGTGAGGATAGGAGAAAGGGGAATTCTAATACACTCGATGGGAATGTAAATTATTATAGTTATTATGGTATACAGTATGCAGATTTTTCAAAAACTAGAACGTGAACGACCATGTGATTCAGCAGTCCTATCAGTGGTATGTATCTAAGAAAAGTGTAATCAATAAGTCAAACAGACATCAGCACTCCCATGTTGACTGCATCAATAGCCAAGATATGCAATTAACTTGGTGTCATTAATGAAAGAAAAGTGATATATGGAGCATTTTATGAATGTCATTTAGATCCTATAGTTTGACAGTGCTTTTGAGTTCTGCACTCTTGGTAATTTTCTGTCTAATTGTTCTACCAACTGTTGTGAGGTGTCAAAGTCTCTAAGTTTGTGGATGTATCTAGCTCTCCTTTCTGTTACTTTGGGTTTTGTTTCACAAATTTGTTGCTCTGTTATTTGGTGTACGCATGTTTAAGATTGCTATGTTGGAATGGGTATATAGCTCAGTGGCAAAAGCTCCTGCCTGGCAAGCACGAGATCTTGATCAGTTTGATTTCTGGTACAAAAAAAAAGAGATTGCTATGTTTGCTTGGTGGATCAAGTCCTTTATAATTATGTGATAACCTTCCTATCCATATTAATTTTTTGCTCTAAAATTTACTCTCGGATATGAATACAGTCACTCCTGTTTTCTGTTGATTAGTTTTGTATGAAAAAGGTATACTTTTTTCATTTACTTTCAATCTACATGTATCATTGTATCTAAAGTGAGTTTCTCACAGACAGCAGTATAGTTGCTCATAATTTTTTATCCAATCTGTCAAATTCTGTCTTTAAATTCATGCATTTGGACAATTTATGTTTAATGTAATTATTTAGATACTAAGGCTTATGTCTGCCATGTTAATTTTGTTTTGTTTGCTCTTTCAATCTTCTTTTTCCTGTCTTCTTCTGAGGTACTTAAACATGTTTTGAATTCCATTATGATTGGTCTATAGTGTTATACCGCTTTACATTGTTTTTAAGTGGTTACTATAGGTAACCACTATAATATAATATCTATAATATTATAGGTATTATAGTACAGATATATAACTTATAAAAATCTACTGATCTTAGCATTTTATCTCTTTATTCCCCTCCATTTATAAAATAATTGTCTTGTTTTAAACATTTTTCTTCTCTCTATATAAAGAACCACATTAGGTAATATTATAGTTTTTGCTTCAGTTGTCAAACATAAAGAATTGAACATGAGAAGAAAAGTTTATTTGCCTATATTTTTGGTTTTACCATGTTCATTTTCTTTCTGAATTTTCCAAAATTCCTTCTTTTGTCTCATTTTCTCTCTGCTTAGAGAACTTTTTTTGTAGACATTTCTTTAGAGAAGGTCTTTTACAAATCTGTTCTCTTAGTTTTTCCATCATTTCAGAATGTCTATTTTATTTTTGTTCCTGAAAGATATTTTCCTGAAAGATATCTTCTCTGTATGTGAAATTCTGGGTTGACAATTATTTTCTTTCACCACTTTAAAAAATATTGTGCCACTTCCTTCTGGTCTTCATGGTTTCTGATGAGAAGTTCAATTTTCAACAATTTCATTATTTTTCCAAAAAGGCAATTATTTCTTTCTAGTTGTTTTTATGATTTTTGGTGGGTTTTTTTTTGTTTGTTTCATTTTGTTTCATTTTATTTTGTTTCCTCTTTTGTTTTCATAAATTTGACTATTATATGTTTGGAATGTATGTCATTGAATTTATCCTCTTTTGGGATTTATCCAGCTACTGGAATCTATAAGTTTGTCTTCTGCCATTTGTAGGAAATTTTTCCACTAAAAATTTTAGAGCAATGGCTACTATGTTGTTCAGTCCTGCCTCTTTCTACTCTCCTTCTGGGAATCTGATATGCATAATACTAGATTTAGCTAAAATTCTCATATGTCTATGAGAATATGTTCATTTAGTTTCAGTCTCTCCTCTGTCTCTGTCTCTCTTTCTGTCTCTGTTTTCTCTCTTCCTCTCTCTCTCCAGATAGGGTAATTTCTATCCTTCAAACTTCAAAGTTTACTGAATTTTTTGTCCATCTTCTCTGCTCTAGAGTTAAGCCCATCTATTTTTCCATTAACTCTCCCTGTACCTTTTATTTCTTTACTGAGGCTTCTTTTTTCCATTAAACTTCCTATTTTTTCAATCAGTGTGCACATACTTGCTCACATAAGCATTTTTATACCTGCTATAAAATCCTTATCAGAGATTTCTAATGTCTGAGTCACCCAGTTGTAGCATATTTTGGTTATCTCTTTCTCTCTGAGTTTTAAATTTTTTTGGCTCCTGGTATGAATTTTTTATATTAGAACCTTGATATTAGAGGCAATACATTTTAAGACCCTGGATTTTAGTTAAGTCTTGTGTTCAGAGTGTACTAAGTCTGCTCTAGTATGTAAAGGTATGGTGCCACATTATTACTGCCTGTTGGAGTGGACATCAGGGACTCCACCAGGATTGGTAGACATCATGGTGAGAGGACTTTTGGGTATTGCTGGACAGGGGTGGAATTCAAGGTTCATCACCAGGCTTGCTACAATTTCTCCCTAGCCAGAAGGAGGGGGAGTGTCTCACTGCTTCTAGGTACGCCAGGTAAGGACAGAGGTCCACTGGGGTCCACTAATGGGGGTGGGGCTTGGAATAGGGATGGGGATTCACTGCCAGCTGGTAGGGATTTATGGCCCAGCTCCTCTGGCTTTCCTAGACATGCTGGAGGTAGAAAGATTGGGGCAAAGGTGGATCTCTATTTGGCCTTTACTGGTGAGGGCTTGGACTGGGGCTGCAGATCTTTCTGTATGGTTTGCTAAAGTGGGTGGTTATTGCCTGAAAATTCTCTGTCATGCCAGGCTTCCCTTTGTCAGGTCCTTTGGCTCAAGACAGTAAGCCTTCCTTGGGGCTTTTTCTCCTTTATCAGTTGGTGCTTCTGGGTTGCCAGCTTCTTTAGCATTCAGTCTGGGGTACATGAGGCATGCCCCTCCCAATATATTTATTACTGTGTGTTCCTTGAGTTCTGAGATTACCAGCTGGTCTCTCTTCTTCTCTCCACCTTCTAGAACTTTTTTTTTAAACCAAGGATTGAATCCTGGGCTTTTGCACTAAGCTGCATCTTCTCCCACAGTTTTTTGAGACAGGCTCTCCATAAGTTTCTAAGTTCCTCAGACTGGGATCAAACCTGTGATCCTCCTGCTGGGATGACAGGTGTGTACTACCAAGCCTGGCTACCTTCCAGGATCTTATGCTTACTTTATATGTAATGTCTAGAGCTTTTATGTGAGCTTAGCAGGAATAAAAGGGAAAAGTATACCTAGTCCATCTTCCTTCCATCTACTGAAAGCTTAAGACTTCACTTATTTATTAAAATTACATTGTATTTTTTTTCCAAAATAGCACTAGAGATGATTTTGTTCTTTTGGAGCACCTTATAGACCGCACACACTAAATTGTATGCAGTGGTCTCCTCCTGTAGATGTAATAGGCTCTCTCCCCATACAGAAGGTGGTCTTTTGCCATATATGCCATGAGTTCATAATCAGAGGAACTCCAAATGCCCTCCCATCAATGATTCTCAAGCACATTATGCCCCAATTCTAAATTTCTGAGAACAGACTGGAAGCCTAAGGATGGAATTATTTTCAACTAGTAATTAAATAGAGGTACATTTAGCCTATGCTAATGAAAGTATTGCAAATAACATCAATAAAGTGTTTCCATGATAACATCCGATTCTTACCCCCCGCAAGGGCAAGAACACAGCATTGGCCTCTTGAATTGTTGGATGAAGGGTTAATTTGTACAGATATATTTGGAAACAATTTCACATATGTTCTAAATCTTTAAAAATGCTCAGACCCACATTCTCCATTCCTGCAAATCTATGCTAAGAAAACAACCTTGCAGTAAGAAAAGAACTAAGCAAAAACATTTAATACAGCATTGTTTATATTAGTAAGAAATCAGAAACAACCCAAATATCCAACTAAGAGGAATAAATTAAATTTAAATGATGGTCCCTCCATTAGATGGAATATCATATAGCTACTGAAGATGATCTTTAAAGGGAATTCAGAGTCATACAGAAAATTCTTGCTATAGTAGGTGAGAAGTATATGCAAAACTCTACATATGGTGTCAGTGTATCACAATCCGTTAGAAACAACATCAATGTATACTCAGCTCAGAAGAGTGGGAAAAAGAAAGTAAAACTGTTAAGTAGGATTGCTTAGGTGTTATTAGGAATATGGGTATATATATTTTTCTTTTTTCCCTACATTTGTAGGTTTTCTGAATTTTCTTTTCTGAGCATGTGCTATTTTTATAATGTGAAACAGTGTAAAAGCATACAGGAGGTTGAATCTGCAGATTGCACTAGGTGCTTTACATTTCAGCAGTCCCACTCTTGTCCCTCAAAGGCCTGATATGGAATGTAGCAAGAGCCTCATTTCCATGATAACACTCTGCAAAGAAGTGGACCTGAGAGACGTGGCACTCAGAGGTTTACATGCAGAAGGAGGTTATGCAGAGTACAACAAAACCTCCCTACTAAGATTCTGCCAATAATCTGAGCGGTGACCCTCATCCAGCCCAGGACCGGCAGTGGCCCCCAGGCCAGTATCCACTTTACCTTTTCCAGCTGGGACGTGCTGTCCTCACAGGCCTCCCTGAGCAGGTCACGGGCCCTGCTGAGGTCTCCCTGTTTGTAAGTGCTGTGAATGCTCTCCATCCTGGGGGACCGCGGAGCCGTGGAGTCCCCGCCTGGCGTAGACAGCTTGCTGCCCATGTCCTTGGTACCTGCATGGGAGGAAGCGCACACACAGCGTCACTGTCACAGCCAGCATGGCTTGGGAGTCACCAGAAATGACAGTACAGGGATGCACTGTCGATGACATAACTCTGGGGGTTGCAGGGACAGAAAGAATGGCCTTGAAATTCTGCCATCACCCAGCTTCCAGTGCCTGGGGGACCTGCAGCCTTGTGGGAAGAGACTTCCTGGGGCTGGTGCTGAAGCCAGGGTGTCTGGAAAGGCAGCAGGCAGTTGCACACAACTCAGAAGGTTCCGCAGCAAAAACGGCTGCCACCTGGAGCCGTGCCAGCGTGTAAGGGCAGCTGTCTGGTGGAAGGCCGCCAGGCTGACTTCGCAGCGGAAAGTGGAGGAGCTGGGGCTTCAGGGGAGAGCAGGCGGCCCCTGCTGAATATCCCCATTGCTTGCGGGGTAGAGCAGTCCTGTGGGAATGGAAATCCACTTTCCCTGCCTGGAAAGCCCCAACAGGGCCACAGGATTTAAGATCTGCAGGCCTCGTTCTGCGCCAGCCAGCGCACAGACAAGCCACACTAAAATGTCAGGCAGTTCCTTGACACTCTGGCTCCTGAGCATGCTTGGACCACAGGTGTAACTGGCCCAGGCTGTCCCTACAATGTCTCCTGGCTCTGCTGTTCTGCTTATCTGAACTGTGGCGTGGCTGTGGCTGCATCCCTGTTCTCTAATGGTGGACACTTGGCTGTCCTAGGTAGAAAAGGTGTGGGGCTTCTTCCGGTCAGCTGAGCACCTGTGCTACTAGAGAGGAGAAGCAGCACTGCTGAGCCATTCTATAAACCCACAGCACCCACCACCGGGGCATTCACTGAGAATGAATGCACTCACTGAGAAGCTGAGACATGGGTGATCACCCCACTGTATACTGAAGGCACAGAGGCAAAGGAGATCTGTCCCCATCCAGATCTCTCCAGAACAGAGGTTCTTAATTAGGAATCTGTGGGTCCCAAAGGCTGACAAAGAGGCTTTAGAGGTTCCCTGAACGTCTTACAGTTGTACACAAAACCAAAGCTGTAACTTTGTGTGTGTGTGTGTGTGTGTGTGTGTGATTTTCTCTCTCTGGGGAGAAAATTCAAGAGCTTTACCAGATGTCCAAAAGGGTTAGTGAACCAGAGTAACAAGCTTTATCTCTAGGTATTTCTGAAAATAATAATAAATGAGAAATAATAATAATAAATGAGAAGGTAAATTCTGATTGTGTTGAGTGATAGTAGAAATAGGAGGAAAATTCTATCATTCCTGGCCAAGTTCACACAGCCAGTAAAGGGCAAGCTGATACTGATTGCTCGCCCAGCTCTCACGGTGGGGATGATCTGCTCTTCTCACCGCTCCCTCTGTGAAGGAAGAGGCTTTTGATTAATTTTTTAAGGGTAAATGCTGAGTAAGTTTGGCTTCTAAACATACATATCACAAAAATGAATCACATAATAGCAGCTAACATTAAAGCATTATTTTATTCACAACAGCATAAAATTACATCCTTAGAAATAAATTTAACAAGAGATAGGCAGGATCTGTACATTAAAAATCTGTAAAATTCTGCTGAGAAAAATTAAGCGGACCTATATAATGGACAGACATCCTATGTTCATGGATGAGAAGAATCAATACTGTTATGATGTCAATTCTTCCTGATTCAATTTAATCTCAACTATACGTCTAGAATGCATTTTAGATGGGGAGAAATTGACAATGTGATTCTCAAATTTATAAGGAAATCTGAAGAACCTCAAATAGCCAAAGCAATTTTGAAAAAGAGTTAAGAGAATTTATACTACCTGATTTCAAGACTTAATGTAAAGCTACTGTAATTGAGACAGTGTGGTATTAGTGAAGTGGGAAAAAGAACCAAACCAATGCCATGTTGTACTCAGGCACCATCTTAAGCTTAAATATCTGTTTCCTTAAGTTTGTTTCTTGTAAATGTTGTCATAGTTACTTAACCTGGTATCACCCCATGCTTTGTCATAAGACTGCTTTTTCCATGTAAAATGTCAAACATCTTTGTTCTTTTGTCACAAACTAAGCCCATGCTTTGTAGGAGTATTTCTGTAGTGGCACTAAGTCATATCAGCACCAACCCCTAGACGCAGAACTAGGACTGTATAACTATTCTTTATTCCTGCTCTTTGGGGCCAGGGCTTGGTCTTGTTTTGGTGCCCAATGCCAGCAATAAACTTGCTTGTCTCTGCATCCGGCCTCTGCAGGTGACTTAATTAAATAAGCACATTTGCAACAACATTAGTATAGACAAACAACTCCCATTGGCCGGAATAAAAAGTTGAGAAATAGACTTGCACTTATATACCTAACTGATTTTTGACAAGGGTTCCAAAGCAATGTAATGGGAAAAGCAAAGTCTTCTCAACAAATAGTGCTGGTATATTGGACATCCTCAATGAAGAATAAAAAGAAATCCTTGTGCCCTACTTCTCATCAGACACAAAATTCATCTGAGATGGATCATGGATCAAAATATAAAGGCTAAAATAATAAAGTTTCTAGAAAAGCACACAAGTGAGTACTTTCATAATCTGAAAGGAAGCAAAGGTTTCTTAGATGGATGTCATGGTTTGGGTGTGGCTGGTGACTCCAGAGTGTCCACTGTGATGAAAGCCCTGGTCCCCAGGGTGGGACTACTGGAAAAAGTGGTGGAGTCTTTAGGGACGGGCCCTTCCAGGTCCTCACGTCACCAAGAGCATGAGGTAGCTTCACCTGAGATCCTTTGGTAGTTCTCACAGCAGGACTGTTGTCAAAGGAAGACACCTGGCCCTTTCCTTCCTCTCGGTTCCTGCCTCTCTTGCCTGATGCCCTGTGTGCCCACCATTCACCATTCACCATGAGCTCCTCATCAGAACTAAGCAGATCAGATGTTATGCCCTTGAGCCACCAAAGCTGAGAGCTAAGTAAACTTCTTTTTTGTTTTATAACTATCCTCTGTCAGGTATTTTGTTACAGTGACAAAAAGTTGACCAATACAAGGGGCCACAGAAAATAAGATCCACAAAAGGGAAAATGCTAATGGAGAATTCACCAAAATTTAAAACCTTTACTCATCAAACAACAAAACAAAACAAATACCACTGAAAGATGAATGGGCAAATTATAGATGAGAATAAAATGTTTATGAAACATATCTGAAAAGGGGTGGTACTTAGAAAATAAAAACTCCTATAATCTAATAATAAAAAGACAAAAGCTCAATTAGGAATGGGCCAAGATTTGAACAGTGGAAGATATTCAAAGAGCTCAACATCCTTATTTGTCAAGGAAATTCAAATTAAAAGCACAATTAGATAGCACAACACTCCCAACAGAAGAGCTATTTATTTTTATTTTTTTTTTCAGAACAGCTATTTAAAGAAAAAAGCAAACTAACAATATTTAGTGAAGACATGGAGCAACCACAACGCTCATAATTTATTGGTTAGAGAGTAAAACGCCATAACAATCCTGGAAAGAGCTCTGGTGGTTTCTCATAAAACTAAGACCCCATGATTCACAATTCCATCCTTAGATATTTATCCAAGATAAACATGTCCACAAAAGTGATCTAAGGTTGTTCACAGCAGCTGTGGTCACAAGATACACAAGCTATAAATAGGCCCACTGTCCACCTGGAGGAGAGAGGACAGAACAAAATGTGACAGAGTGACTGCTCAGCAATAAGGAGCAACGAACAATTGATCCATAAGATGACTGATATGTATCTCAAACACATAATGCTGAGTGAAAGAAACCTTGCACAAAATGATGTCCTTTATATATCATTCTAATTTGTGTTAAAAAAAAATCAGACAGTTGTTGCTTGGAGTCAGGGTAGCCAGTTTGGTTGATCAGAGAAACAGTATTGTTTGGGTTGCTGATTCCATATTTGTTGGGGTTTGCATTACATGGGCTCTGTACTTCTCAAAAAATTAATCAAGAAGTCCACATAAAATTTGTGCATTTTCACCTGACATACCCTTTATCTAAAAAAAGCAACTATAAACAATTCAAGCCTTAGTCGATAATATGCATGTGGAAGTACTTAAGGGTGAAGGGTCCATATATTTACGATTTCAGCTGAAACGCATTAAAAACAGGATGTATAGAAATGTGAGAGAGTAATCTGAGAGTAATCTAGTGTTCATCGTATACTTTAGGTGATGGGTACAGGAGTGTACCGTGGTTCTAATTTTTCAGTGTTACTGTAAGTTTGAAAATTTTCACGATAGCATCTTGGGAGAAAAGGTGAGTTACACAGTAAACCCTACATGCAGGAATATAAGACATACAGCATGTGTTCCACCACTAAGAGAGAAAACCCCTGTTGTGCAGGAAGGCAGAGACAAGCTGCTCACAGAGAAGAGGTCCTTAATATCATCCAGGGCTTTTACAACTCACCCTAAGCCATGATATGCACCGCTTCCAGGGCAACTGTTCTGAAGATCCTTGAACATGGATCATCATCACACATAATTGGCACCATTCTTGAAATGCCAATGTAGGACTGCGAGGTTTAAGCACAGATTACTGGGTCTGTGGGGGTTTTTGTGGGGTGAGTGCTGGGTATTTCTGGAAAGAGGAAACCAGGATAAGGCTTCGTGTGTAAGTGCTTATGCATGTGAGTAAGGCAGCCTTGCTTCTCAACACACACTGACAGTCGCTGTTAATTATTGATAGTCAGAGACCCCGAGACATCTAAGAGCAGGCTAGAGACAGAAAGGCCATTAGCAGGGGTGAGGAGGAGGTGGAATCAAGGCAGTGTCCTCCCTCAGCAGGAGACACTTAATTATGTCAGGGCTCATCTTTCAGAATTAAATATTCTCCTTGTCTAGTAAAAGGCAAGTGGGTGTGGGCATGTGTTTCTGCACATGTGCATGACCAAGGAGGAAGTAACCTTGCCTCCTCGTGTTAAGACCATAAATACAAACAGTTAAACCCGGAAGCCCAAGTAAAGGGCCACTATGAAGGTGAGACTTAGGTTACACGTAAA